TATATATATATATATATATATATATATATATACATGGGATATAGGAACCATGACCCGAAAATTCCAATCCCAAGCAATGGAACTTTAGCTATCTGGTTGGTGCCTGGCCAATAGTTATGATACATCATGTAAAATTCCACCTACAGTACATGAATTAAATTCTGGGTGAAGAGCATACCTGTTTTGGATGTAGTGTGATTCTCCCACTAGGCTTCTAATCTTCTATTATCACGCCAATAATCTATGCAAATGCTTTCTGTATGGATAATGCCCTCACCGGCCTCTCCACCTTATCAATGTTTTGGAAGTTAACATTTTCTTTAATAGAAAATGTATTTCCAATAATACTTACCTCCGCTGACACTCTCCCACCCTTCGTCACCATTAAGAGCTGGTGTTAGAGACTGCAGAATGAGTCCACATTGGTGGAGAGTGTTACGCGACAGATATTGCCAAGGGCAATTAAGTGGGGAATAAAAGACTGGAGCAAGTGATAAAAATTCAGATCAATGCTTAGATGGGCAAAGGAAGGAAACCATGGCAGTTGAGTAATAGCTGTGGTGTCAGTGGAGGTAATTATTATTGGAAATACATTTTCAATTTAAGAAAATGTTAACTTTCATCCTTCCATTCCTCCCCTTTCCTGGTTCTTCACCTGGCTAGTCAATCGGTTTTGACAATTTATGGTTGTAGAACAGTCTTGTCAAACACGTTTCATTTTATGAGATTTCACCAAGTCTTATCATCTCCCACTCTTTCCCTGCTGTTCCAGTCCTTTCAGGTTTTTCATCTTTGCAGTGCCTATTTGGGTTCTTAATGTCATCCTGTTTGCCTTTTCCCAACCTCCCTTTTAACTTTTGGCTTCTTGTTCCCTGTATACCATCATTCCCTCAAGACTTATTTCCTTCTCCTCCTGGTTTGCAGTCATTGTTGGCCTGACCTTTTTGGGACAGATGTTTCCAGTACCCTTTCTCATAGTACATATATTGTGCTATACCCAGACCGTTCCTTCTTTCCTTTTCAAGATCTCATCTGCCTGTGAGGGCATTTCTGCCTTTGCCCCATCTCCATCCCTTTCATTTCCAATATTTCTTCAGGTCCGATCTTGATCACCTCCTGTGTTCTGTGTGGGCTGTGCAATGCTATGTGGCTTGTTTGACTTACTTTCATGGTTCATGTTCCTGTTTGTTTTTCCCTGGAACCCATATTTGTCATGTAGCCTATTCCCCTATCACCCTGACAGGTTGGGTTTGTCAGCTTATTAAGTTAGCTTCATCTTCCCTCTCCTTGGAAAGGAATAATCTTTATCTTGTCCTGTCCCATCAGATTCGACACCTCATTATGTCTCTTGCACCTTTTTTTCATCATCCTCTGGAGAGGATCATCTAGACTGGAATGTGGACTACTCCCTATACCTTTGTTGCTCATTACCTACACCATCTGGCTTTGTCCTTCTCTGATGGATATCGCCTACCTCCTGTGGAGATTCTACATGCACTGGTTCGACTCTCACTTGGGTGTATTTTTTTCTGTTATTTTTTTTCAGGGGCCTCCCCTTTCTTTGATATCTATTCAGATCCTGCTCAGTGGTGAGTGTTGCCTAGTCAGGTATGCTTTCCTCTAAATCTGCACCAAATATCTTTTAAGATTATAGAGCACGTTGTTGAGATGGGGTATTCTGCAAGATTTTTAGCGGCTTACCTAGTGTATATCTATTTCTCCTTACATAGAATTCTGATACTTACTTGGTGAGCTATTACTCATGGACTATCATGAGTAAAGCAGAAGGAGATTGCTGCTCATTCCTGCTGCTACTTCAGTTGAATAAATCAGGAGCAGTCTGCTTTTCAAAATAGGGTTTTATGGTCACTCATTGAACTTCCTCCAGTGTGATGTTCCTCTAAACTCCCCAACGTCTTTTACTCCTCCCTCCTCAAGTGGTGTTTGAGAGTCCTTGCCACTTCCCAGTTCCTAGCTGCTAGAGTGGTGAACCATGGAGGCCTCCTCATGAGTGTAGAATGCACATTTTAACATTACATGTTACTACACTACATTGAGAAGTAAGCAAAGCTAGGAACCCTCCTGCCATCGACCCCCATAGTGGTTTAATCCTAGGCGTGCTGATGTTGGTGAGAGCTTGACCAGCTAATGCTAGGTCCTCTTTATAATACTAGGTTTAGGTAGATTGCACCATGTTCCTAAGGTTTAGACTTCTAGATGTCCCCCTTCTTTATAATTCTGGTTGCAGGATGTTTCATTTTCTTGCTCCTACGGTTGAGCTCAGAAGTCTTCATCAACCTTGTAATACTGGTTGCAGGACATGCGATGCCCTGTTCCTATGGTTGAGGAGGCATTTCACATCCTCCACATAATGCAGGGTGCACAATGTGTTTTCCCTGCTCTTACCATTGAGTTAGAATCCTTATTTGCCTGCTCATAATGCCGGGTACAGGATGACTCCTTGCTCTTACAGTTGACTTGAGGCTCAGACACATCCCTGTAAGTTCGGGTTCAGTTTGTTGTATTTCTTGTTTCTAGTGATTGATTTGGAAGTTTGTCTGACAGTTGCCGTTTGCTTACTTCCACTTTATAATTCTGGCTGCTTGCATTATGGCAGTTTGATTACTTATGGGAGAGTTGGTGTATATATTACTAATGGTCTGCTTGCCCTGGCCACCATACACTATATATATATATATATATATATATATATATATATAT